ATTTGATCATAAATTCAAGTCAGAATTCCCCACTTGGTTTTTTATTGAACAAATCAACTAATTTTCTACTATTTTTTCATTCAGTCCACAACAAAAGAAATTCCCTACATTGCTCATTTTTATATCCAAATACAAGGTCTCATGGATATTTAAATGGCAATATGTTATTTCTGATGTCATAATATTTCGCCAACACTTTGTTAAAAGGTGGGATAATTTCAAGATTCCACGAATTATTGAACAAGTTCAAGTAGAATTCTCAGTCAATATTCATGCTTCTACACCTGCCATGATCAAAACTCAGCAAAACCCAACTGCTTCATTAACACAAGGAAGCCAACTTCCTCCAGTCAATCTTGGAAGCCCAACTTCTAGTTCTTCCAAGCCCAAGTCAACAAAGCCCAAATCTGACCAAACAAAGTCCAAAGTCAAGACTAAACCCTCATCATCTTAGGCTAATCCCAAGGTCAAGTCCAAGTCATCCAAAGATGAGCTTCTCCAAATAACTCGCCTACTCATGGCCCAAGCCAAGTCACAATATGATGAAGCCAGTTCAGAAGAAGGTTCAAATGGTTTAGACTCTTCTGAAGGTTCAACCAATCAAGATCCTTATGGGCCCTAGTTTCAAGATGCTCAGGACCCATATGCTTGATATAGTCATTGGATTCTATATAGCTATAATTATCAGCTTTAATCAATACTTTTCTTTTGAGAAAAGCTGCTGATATATATATCTATATTGATTCCCTCAGTTACATGCCGCCGTCAGAAAGCAATGAATGGTGAAAAAAGTCAAATTTACTATTCACTATTCATCAAGAAGTCAACATTATTATTCATCATTCATCATCATTCATTCAACCGACAAATTCAGTACAATCAAAGGCGGCCATCAACTTTAGTCACTCAACGAAAGTTACAGACAGCTCCCATGTGCTTCTTTCAAGGTCAGATTCCTTCACAAGGCTCACAATAACTCCTTCACAAGGCTCACAGTAACTCTTTTCATCTATAAAAGAGCTTCTTCAGTCAAGAATAAGACAGAGTTAGAAAAATCTGAGTGCTTATTCCTCAAGAAAATAGTCATCTTTGTAATTTTATATTTTCAAATTATGTATTTTGAAAAACTGTTTGCTTCATTTGCTTCATTCCAGTAAACAATTGTAAGATTTATTTTAAGTTGTTAAGTTAAGTTTTATTTTCTGTATTTTAATTTTATGTATGTTATTTTTAGTGTGCTATTTCCTGTTTCCTGCTTCCGTCTCTTTTGGCTATATATATATATATATACACACACACATATATATTTTTAATTATATCAGGTCGAGTTTGGATCAGGAAAGGTAATATTCGCCCATGCGTTACTCCCGTTGTGGGTAATCAAAATATAATCTATTCTCACCCCACATAAGTATCAAATTGGGTAAAATCCGCTTTATTCAAATGAATATGGGCAGGCAGGCCCCATGAATCGGATTAAAATGGTCATCCCTTGTCAGAGCATCTCCAATGCTATTTGCTATAATACCATTGCCATTGCTATAATTTGGTAATGAATAGTAATAATTTGTCAAATTATAGCAATGATACTCCAATGGTACACATGCTATTTTGGCAAATCTCAACTAACTTTCCCTCCAAATTTGTAGATGTTGTTTGAATATAAGTTTTTTAGTGATTTTTTTTTTGTTTATTCTTTTCCTTTTGTGACATTTTTTTAACTGTTTGTAAAAAAATTATATATTTATATTATATCCGACTAGACAAATATAAAAAATGAAAAAGAAATTGAAAAATTGAAAAAAATAATTTAAATACTGAAAATTACATATTGAAATAGAATCTATATATAATCCAAAATTACATATTGAAATAGATTAAATACTCAAAATTAAATACACAAATTGATATAATCCAACGGAACCAACTTCCTCACTGTTGGATCTTTTTATATAATCCAACGGCTAATATTTTCCATCTAGAATCATCTTCCTCTTTTTGTCTCTCCCTTTCCAACACTCTTTTTGTCTCTCCCTTTTTCATTCTCACCGATTGTCTTCCCATAGCATCTTCCTCTGTCTCTCCCTCTCTCTACCTCTCTGATGATGAACCTCTCGGAAGGGTGGTTGTTCTCGTCTCCAGGGCCGGCCTGAGATTTGTGAGGCCTAAAGCGAACTATGAAAATGGGATTCCTTTAATATCAATGGGAATCCAACCTCCCTAATGCATTCCCCTGCTCATCTCCATCTCCATCTCCATCTCTGCCTCACCCTCTCTCTCTCTCCATCTCTGGTAATGGCAAAAATCTGTTGTTCTATGGAATTTTTTTTGTAATGGCAACAAAAAAAATTTATATAATATTGCAAGATTTTGCAGTTTTATTTTTTTTATTTTTTTTATTGTTCCATCTCTGGTAATAATTTCTTCAAAAATCTATTGTAATGGAAAAAAATTTATTCCACTGTGTTTTTTTTAAGTGAACAATGTTTTATATTGTATGTATGGTTTGGGTTGGGTCCAAACACTTTTTTTTTTATATATATTTTTATTTTAATAAATATGGGCCAAACCACATAAATATGGACTAAACCAAACATGGGCCCAATAAAACATTTTGAGACCCTTTAAATTGATCCTAAAAAAAAAAAAAAAAAAAAAAACAAGGTTGGGCCTATAACAATTTATTAAATTTGGGGGTCTTTTTTTTGGACCAAAATTGTGGGGCCGAAGGCACAAGCCTTATTGGCCTTAAGCCAGGGCCGGCCCTGCTCGTCTCCGTCTCCGTCTCCGTCTCCATCTCCATCTCCATCTCCATCTCTGCCTCACCCTCTCTCTCTCTCCATCTCTAGTAATGGCAAAAATCTGTTGTTCTATGGAATTTTTTTTGTAATGGCAACAAAAAAATTTATATAATATTGCAAGATTTTGCAATTTGATTTTTTTTATTTTTTTTATTGTTCCATCTCTGGTAATAATTTCTTCAAAAATCTATTGTAAAGGAAAAAAATTTATTCCACTGTGTTTTTTTTTTTTTTTAATTATTATTCCATCTCTGATATATTATTGTTCCACTATGTTTATTTCTTCTATGAAAATTTTGGAGCCAAATTCTATTTATTTGAATGATGAGACCAAATTTGAGAGATGAAATGACATTTGCCAAATTTGGCAGGATTTATAGCAGCCCATTAAAGCAACATTTTTTAGAAATCTTATCAAATTTTGACAATAACGACTCAAATAACTTGCCATTAGAGATGCCTCATGTACCCACTTCTAGCGTTGATGTTCGCGTTCTACCACTTGATTTTGGCCGGAAGGTGAAAATACGACTGGAACACCACCTTCATCTCTGACGACAGCGTGGGAGGGAGGAATTTATTGTGGTTGGTGATCCTAAAACATCCCAATTCCTCACATGCCTCTATCATCTTCCTTGACTGCCCTGGAAAGTCTTCCAGATCAACCACTGGCATATTAAATTGATTGTTTGTGGTCATTTTTCCTTATATTTGATGAAAAGAGTGGAAATTAAGAACAACTTTACTTGGTGAAGCTGTTTTGAGATTTGTGCACCCAACATTTTACAAATGATGCTTTCAATATGTATTGTAGTGGGAAGCAACAAAATGTCTTGGGCAAATTGGACTATAAGTGCTTCCATTTTTTTTATTTTTTTTTGGTACCATTTTGACCTTTACAGTTTTAATTGATTTGATTTTGACTCTTAATTTATTTTTTTTAATATCAATTTAGTCTTAATTGATACATTTAATTAAGGTTTTGGATAAATAAAAAAATAAATAAATAATCACTGAACTAGTTGAACAAGTTTATAATTTTATCCTTAAAATTGTTACGCATGTTACTCATGTATACTTTTTCATCAAAAAGCTAACGAGAGTAATCAATTGAACCACGTCGATACGAAACCATAAATTTATGGTCATACTCAAATCATTAGGCATGTTACTCATGTATACTTTTTCATCAAAAAGCTAACGAGAGTAATCAATTGAACCACGTCAATACGAAACCATAAATTTATGGTCATACTCAAATCAATACAAGAAATTTGTCTTTTTCCAGATCTATCATTATAATTTTTCACCTCAAATGTGCTAAATATCATTATAAGGCAAATGAACAAACTAATTAACAAATTTTACATATTTTTCTTATAAGTGTAATAAATAAGAATTTTAATTTTGTACAAAATTACTCATTTTTTAAAGGGTAAATTACAAATACACTTTTTGAGTTTTGCTTAAAATACAGATTGCTCCCTATGGTTTGAAAAATTACAAATACCTCCTTGTTAGTATTTTTATTTAATAGAATTAACTAAGAAAATGAAATTCATAATTACTCTCCTATACAATAATAAAATTACCTAAATTATTAATTGAAGTATATTTCTAATATTATTAAAAACTGTTAATTGACTTGATGATTTATTAATAAAAAGGGCTCTTTGTTATGAAATTAAAAATTTCAGGGGATGGAATGTAATTTCAAAAAACTACAGAGGGCGATTCGTATTTAATCAAACCTTAGAGAGTGTATTTATAATTTACCTTTTTTAAATATGATAAGTCTTATGGCATATATTTATAATATTTATTCCATATAATTTTTATTACATTAATGCAGGTAAGAGAAAAAATAAAATGGTAAAATAAATGTGATAATATATAGGATTTCTAAAACTTGAAAAAAAAATTAGTTATCTGACAAGTGAACATTACCCTATTCTGTAATTGAATTTTTATTAGAATTCACAACTTTTTAGTGAAATTCAGAACAATGAATCTCAATAAAAGAGTAAAGAAAAATGTTAACCACCATTCAATGAAAAGTAATGAATGTTGATATATGTATAAAAGTGTACAAAAATATATAAAAATATGTCTCAAAATTTAAACTACATTAACATTATATAATCCTTAACAAACATCCATTGAATGATGGTTGGTGGAATAGTCCCATATTTGTCCCACTTATGTGGAAGAACATTTTGCATGAGTCTTGGAACAATAAAAATTTATCACGATATCCGATTATAAAAAATAAAAAATTAAATTTAAGAAATAAAACAACAATGATTCGTTCACACAATTTTTTTCTCTCAAATTCTCTTGAATGAGACTCTAACTGATAAGAAACCAGACTTACCAATAAGAATCACATTGGGAGGTTGAGAGAAAAAGTTGTATTGATAAATCATTAATCAAAATAAAAATAAAAAGACAAGGATCTCTGGCACATGCATGAACCAGAGAAAAGGGCCCTCTAATTTGAGAAAAATCTAAACGCATAAAACACATGCCGCCCAACACAAGGAAAGCGGGTCGTTGAGGTTCAAGTCTTGTCTCTGTCATGTCAAATAGCAAAAGAAAGAACAAATCAAACAAGCAATCTCATTTCCTTTGAGTTCATACCTCACCTTATTCAACGGGAGTAATTCCCTTCAAGATCATATCTTTCATTCATAATTTGAAAGACTATTTTGCAGATTTTGCAAAATTTCATGATGATTCTTGTAATCTTAGTTATAAGAAATGTAATATTATTAATTATGAGACATGATTATAAGATATGTGGGAGTGATTTTAAAATATATGATATTTGTGATAGTAGTTATAAGATATATGGTGTTGATTATGCTTAAAGTTGTGTAGTTATGAGATATGTGGGGTTGATTATGAGCTAAAGTGATATTGGTTATGAGATATGTGGTATTGGTTATACTCAAAATTATGTGGTTATAAGATATATGATATTGGATTATGACATATGATTATGAGATATGTGATTAATATTTATGAGATATATGGTGTTGCTCATAAAATTATGAAGAGAAATAGAGGTGGCTCATAACTAAGTTGTGAATAAACTAATTCCAGAATAAATTTGGCGGTGGCTCATAATTAAGTTATGATCAAACTGGTTCTACTTATGAACAAATCTGGTATTAACTCATAGTTGTAAAACAAATTAATGACATGGCGCAATCCTAGCCATGCCTATCCTAGCCATCCTTTAGGCATGTACCATAGAAAAATCCTGCGTAATTATTATGATTTGTTTCTACCTAGATGCAATTTCTCTTTAATTTTACAACTAAACACCCATTAATAGAGATTTAAGCTTTATAAACACACACACAAAAACACTATAACTGAAGTTTGAGCTCAACCCTATTCAAAATTAGAACAAGGTCAACTTGGAGCTAGTAAATTATTAGTCTTCAATATATTGTTTATTAAATCAAAAGCCATAAGCTCCCCAAATTTCAATTTCACTAGTTTCTTATCATGTAAATAGCAATGGTGCATCAATCCTTTCTTTTATTAAGTTTTGGCACATATTCTTTTTCAAGAGTTGGTGTGTAAAAGATCAAGAGCTTCACCAGCATGTAACTTTTTTGAGATTTTGAGCTTTCTCTAATCACCGTAAAAGAAAGGAACATACAGGCGCGAGTGTGATGAATCCACTAATTGAACGGGAGCTTCCACTTTTGCCTCCTTTGGGCCCAACAGAAATGAAGCAATCGACATTCTTGTTCTTGCTTCCTTGCATACTACTCTATGCTTCACATTGCATAATTTTCCATTACTCCATACCTTTCACATTCCAACAAGCACAGAAAAATAAATATCAGCATAATCTGTATTTGAGCAAAGTGAATTTACAGACCATAATGAGAACTAATTTTGTTGGAACATGTTTTGAGACATAACTCAAGACACTTTTTGCTGCAGGGTAACAGGAAAGTCATCCTTAGAACTGAAAAACTCCAACAAAATTCTTTTTCTTTTTTCATTGTAACTACTTAGATTTTTTGATGTGTTGAAAACAAATGAAAACTTATGTATTTTTTACTGTTTAGTGTCTACGGAGGGGTTTCCGACCAAACCCCGGTCGGGCAGCCTCACCGTTTGTTACTTTGTGCAGATCTTCAATTCCCGGAGCACGGTGTTCATCCACGAAGTTCAACCCTTCTTCATAGTGTGAAAATCACCCCCGCACACCTATCTAGGTAAATAATTTATCAAAAATAAGAATGTGCGAAAAATATCACATGATGCGCATTTAAGGCTTCTTGCGCATATTGGGTTCTTTGAAATAAATGAACCCATTTAAGTTTTGTTAATTTTCCAATATGGGACAATAATAAAGGCAATTATAAATCAAACAAATGAAAATCTCAACAAGATTTACCCACCTTAGCAATGTCTCCGAGATTGACAAGGAGAGTTCCCGGCAAAGGCTCCACTGCAACAAATTTGCTGGACTTGTCCATGACTTCAAGACCGCCAACATTTTCATCCTCTTGAAGTATAGTGAGAAACCCTGAATCAGTATGTATTTGCACACCGGAAGAGTCTACAGTCTCGGGGGTGAAGTTATATTTGTTCATCCTAAATTGACAAGGCCATCCCTGAAACGAAAAGCTAGTTAACCCCATACCTTCAGCTAGCTTGCAAGCAATATCCATTGCTAGATTGTGTATTGCTTCAGCATACATCTGTATAGTTTCTCTAGTAATAATAGCAAAATCAAGAAAGAGTGAGTACTGAAAACAACTTCAAGGTAGACATTGCAATACCACAAAAAAAGTATGCCCCAAAATGTGCATCAGCAAATTGCTCTTACAATTACACCACCACTCAAAATTTTCCACTCATCTTGTTTGAGGTTCATGGGGAAATGTTTTGGCATTCCCTTAATAAGGTTTCATAGCGAATTAGGAATCAAAATTCAGATAAAGTGATTTTCTCATTCGAGCTTCTATTTACACGATATATTTTTCTCCCTTTATACCCTCATTCTCATTACACCCAATTAAACATTTTTGAATTTTTCTTGTCTTTTTAATCCTCTTAATGTCCCAAATTTATGACCAAGAGCCTGGCCTAGTGGATAAGGTACTCCCTTATCAGACACAATGACATGATTCAAGTCTTACTGTTGTGTTATGTAGTTTCTTATTTTCCTATTCCCTTCCTATGAATTGAAAAAAAAAAAAAAAAAATTTGTCCCAAATCTATGTTATCAAAATCTTATGATTCGCGATTCGATTTGCAATTTTTGCAAAATCGATACGAATCTATGGATGAATCTATTCTTGATGTGAATCTCTAATAAATAACACAATTCACAATCGATTCACGATTCGATTCATCATTTTTAACGATTCATGCGATTCTTAAAATTATTGTCAGGTACCTTGAAGGGGAGGAAAAAATGATAATAATAATAAGTACAATATATAAGTTTAACTTCTACTGTTAGAATCCCAATTTGGATTGTAAGATTTTACAATTTTACGACTCTAATTGGGTCAAACGATCCGGATCATACTATGATCTTAAATTCAGTAGGATCTAAAGTGACTACAATCTTAGTCATAAAATTGTGTACAATCACACTGCGATCCTGTTCCTAAAAAAAAAAAAAAAGAGTATTATTATTATCTATTTCTTATATATGTATGTATATATGTATATCAATTAAGAAATTTGAGTATAAACTATTTCTCCAAACATCTCCTCTAACTTGTATTAACATAAAAAATGAATTATATTGAATTTATCATTTTTTAATGATTTTAAAATTATTTAACATACATTATCATTATTGATAAAAAGTAGAATCTAAACATCATCGATCCAATTTTATGTTCTGATCCACAAGTCCCTTACAAGAATCCCACCTGGGATCCTAATTTTGACAACTTTGTTCAGAAGTTACAGATTGAAGAAATTTATTATTCATTAAATCACACTTAATATAACAAAATATAAACTCTAGGTAAAATACCTTCTAGTTTGAGTCAGATGTTACTATATTTCAATTACACTTCAGGAGGACACTGATACAAATAACAAAATTGTTGATTTAAACGTGTAATTTGAATGTAATGATCAAATTAAACTGAACTAAGAAGGAAGAAAGAGAGCAACAAACAAACCTTTGGCGAGGAGAGGCATCTAAGGGAGAACAAAAGGCATTAACAGCTACATGAGAGGCTATATCATAAAGCCCAAAGGCCTCATAATGAGGATTTATTTGGCTAGGTGCCATGTACCCACTGCCGGGGATGACGTCGGTGTTCAGCCGCTTGATTTCGACCGGAAGGTCGAAGAGTGACCGAACCACCGCCTTCATCTCCGCCGACAGTGCCGGAGGGAGGAATTGATGGTGGTTTGTGATCCTGAAACAACCTAATTCCTCACATGCCTCTATCATCTTCCTTGACTGCCCTGGAAAGTCTTCGAGATCAATCACTGCCACATTACATTGATCGTTTGGGGCCATTTTTTCTTATATTTCATTTGATGAAAGAGTGGAAATTAAGGACAAGCTTGTTTTGAGTTTTGTGCACCAAACAATTAAGAGCGTTCCAACGGTTAACCAAAATTTTCATCAAATTTGGATAAAAGAATAATTTTTTTCTCAATATGATACCGAGTGTTCCAATGATTCATTTTCATCAAATTTACGCCGGGACAACCGGTTGGTCAACCGGCCAGTCGACCAGCTAGTCGACCGGTGAAGGCAAAAAAAAAAAATTTTTTTTTTTTTAAATTGTTTGAACCTTTTTTTGAACTGTCTAAACTTTTTCCGGGACAACCGGTTGGTCGACCGGTAAGGCAAAAAAAAAAAATTTTTTTAAACTGTTTGAACCTATTTATTTGAACTGTTTGAACCGTTTTATGGTCGACCGGTTGGTCAACCGGCTAGTCGACCGGTTTGTCTCCCCCAACAATAACAAACAGTGATTTGGTGAAACCTGGAGCGTGTTTCTCATTTTGGTGAAAGGTTTGGTGAATTCTCGATTTAATATTGATTTGGTAAAACCATTGGAGCACCAAAAAGTCACTTTTTTACCAAATTTCAAATTTGATGCCAGATTTGATGAAACGTTGGAGATGGTTTAAGGAATGATGCTTTGAATTTATGTTGTTGCGGATACCAACAAATTTTATTTGGGATGTGAGTTAATTTTTGATTTATTAGTTTTTTTATGGGATTAAAAAAAATTATTTGGGATAGGTTTTTTGATTTTTTTATTTTTGTGAGAGAAAAAATGAAATAATTATAAGTTGGATATGATATTTTGTTTTATCTGGCTATTTTAGAGTAAATTCAATTCAAACACACCTAAGGGTGCCTCTATTTACACACCACCTTTCATCTCAAGGCATACCATTAATTAGTTTATTTTTCATTACAATATTAACTTAATATAAAATGACTACAAATGATAAAGGGCTATGATATACACATCACGTAATATACACCAATTACTCATTGCACACTATACCCAATTTTGATTTTTTATTTTTCACTTAATACACACTATCAATTTTTAAATATTCCCAAAATATCCTCATCTTCTCTAACCATAACCATAACCATAACCATAACCCTAACTCTACCCCACAGCCGCTGCTATCAACTATTGTCGTCAACCATCCTATCTCTTTTTGCCGCTGTTACCCTCTGACCGACACCATCCCCTTTTCTGTTTCCATCCCCAATCCATTTGCGTTCTTGCCATGGCAGCAACTCGCGCTGCCATTTCCTTCACTGCTGACATTGCAACTCAGAATAAAATTTGTGTTGTATGGATTAAGAAATTTGTGTGAAGGTTAAAAATGTAATTGACTAGAAGGATAAAGATGTAATAAATTTTTCTAAGGAAATTGAAGATTGAAGATTGTGGTGTGTATTGAGCAAATTTCTCATTTACCAAATTAATAAAGGTGTGCCTTGAGTAGTGATGTGCCTTGAGATGAAATGTGGTGTGTAAATAGAGGCACCACATGCTTAATTAGCTGAAAGCACACATTTAATGAAATATTAATTTAATGACAATTATATCCTAAACAAAAATGACTATAATAGACATCTAACAATATCCATAATATTATATGAAAAAAATTCTCTATAAACATCTTTTAATAACAAAAAAATCTCAATATATACCATTTAAATTAAAAAAATTAAACCCTAATTTTTCATTCTAACAACTGATCGCGGCTTATCCCCTCTGAAAAACATGCTATGTATTGCCATACATCTGTTGATATGTTCGCCACTATTAATACCACTAAGCTGTTGAACACCATTTGCTTCTTCTTTCTTTCTTTCTTTCTTTCTTTCTTTCTTTCTTTATTACTCTCTCTCTCTCTCTCTCTCTCTCTCTCGTTTCTATTACTAGCTTTTTATTTTTTCTTGTCGCTCTCTTTGCTTGTGAATTAGGTCTCGTTGAGTAATTAGTCGAACTAATACCATTTATTCGGAAGTTAATTTCCGAATTAACTTTATTGTTTCAGAAAACCAGTGTTGAAAGCCTCAAACCATAAATCACAAGAACGAAATTGAAGGTTGTATGCCAATGAAGTGCACATACATCCGAAAATGATAAATATAATAAGGAAATGGAAATATGCCTTATTTTCAACACTATTTTGGAAGATTTTCAATAGTTTTCAATGGAGGTTCAATTGAGCTTGTGATGCCCCAAATTTTCTAACATAAATTAGATACATCCTCCAACATTCATTAAAAGGATAATAGCAATTCTCCAACCTTTACATCATTGATCTTTAAGGTTTGTACAAAATAATCCCACATGCAAATTATACATTCAATGATATCAAATACATGAATCTATAGCATGTAGAATGTCAAATTCAAAAATAAATAAAATGCCCTCAAGGGCTTACACATTCCAAGGCTTAAGCCTGGTTACATAAAAATTGTCTCTCAGACCCAAACAGTTATAGCCCTTGGCGAACAAAAAAAATATACCACAATAAAATAAGAGTCATATGCTCCCAACACATACATCCACGCCCTAACTTGGCGGGATCACCACATCCTTTTCCTGTACCAAAATCTCATAGGGGTAAGCACAAAGTCTAGTAGAAATTTCTTAACAAACTATATACATTTTATACAAACTCCGCAATATGATATGCACATGTCATGCTATGTTTTTAAAGAAAAATCACATTTTTTTTTTTTACATCTTTTAAAAAATTATCATACTCATTGATAACCTGAAATCTCAACAATTCAAAATTTACAATTTAATTCAAAGGGGGCGGTAAATACGACTCAGGTAATCCCTAGATTAGTGTCTGCAAGTAGACATAACAAACACTACCAAAACCCCACTTTACCGGTTGCCAACCGGAAGGGAAATGATACCTCCTCCGCTTGTGTTTTCGGTCTTTCACCCCGGACACTCAGGCCAATTTAATCAATTTCATCTACACCTCCTATCCAGTCTTACCAACGTATTTACCCCAAAACATTTCAATAATTCTCGTTTCACAATATTTCTTTTTCAATACAAAATTTTGAATCCCAATTCAAAACGTGTAACAACCCAATTGAATGGATATGCCATGCAACAATTATTAATGCCACATAATATTTCTCTACTTTCCAATATCTCTAACAAATATTCTGTAATAATCAAAACTTGTATTTCTCTTTTCAATGCTATCTCACAAAATAGCCACATCTTCCTTACAATTCGTTAATATATAGCAACATCTCTATAATTCATACATTCCCAACATTTTAGTCATTTCTAGACTATACCAGTTATTTGGACAATTTCCAATCTCAACAATTCTCATATGTTATGAAACCATCATCTATATAAGTATTTGTATATAGCCAAGTAATTTTCCATTTTCTTTACTCATTTTGGCACATAAAATAATATATTAACTATACCAACCATGTGCTCTCAACTTCTTTTATAAACCCCCAAATTCCAAGGTTTTTCTCACCACAACAACACACACACCTAAACATTTGACAGAAATTCTAAAAAAAGAGAACATCATCCCTCACCCAATGTAGTTCAAACCCTTAAGAGATTATTTTAAAAGAAACAAGGGTAAACCCACCTTTAAAATTTACTCACGTTCTTGAGCCAACACTCAAATTTCAAAGCTATCTAAAAGTGATTTTGAAATTTAACCAAATCTTGCAAAAACATATATATAACTCTAAGAAAATCTCTACCTTAAGTTTTAAAGAAGAAATGAGATGAAACCTCAAAATCAACAGTGTTGAAACTCGATCTCCACCGCACGAAATGAAGCACTTGCTTAGTTCTCCAAGATTTGCAAAGGATGTAAGGTCAAAATCCTAATGAATTGGAAGAGATCAAGAGTTTTAAGAGATTTGGTGTAGGAAATGTAGAGAAAATGAGAAGGATATGGTTTTTAAAGAGAGAGAGAGAGAGAGAGAGAGAGAGATGAAAAAAGTGATACACACACAACCCAAGACGGGAAGAAAAGGCTGATTTTCGAACTCAGCGTCTTCCGCACGTATGGCACCCACTCCCGCACATGCAGCATCTCCTCCACACCTCCTTCTGCACCTACCTTTTATGCAGAAACTAACCCATGTCCTCCCCTGCCTCCCACACGTGCGACCCTTTTCCCGCATGTACGGCCCAAGGCCTTGTAGACACCCCATTTTTGACCGACCTTAAGACTCAGACGTCACTGATTGAGCGCTCGGTGACGTTGCATATCGTGCTCGTTCAGAAGTTTCAGAGTCACGACCGTGAGCCTT